AGGGGAAGACCCTCTATGAGATGGAATGATTCGGTGACTGGGGTAATCGGGATGGGTGTGTCAGAGGCGGTGCGGTTGGCGCAGGATAGAGCAGGGTTAGGGCTGTTGTGCATAGGGTCGCTATGAGTCGGAAACGACTCGATGGCACATAACAAGAACACAACAAATAGTGAGTGAAGATTTGAAAACCTCTGGAAGCCCATCATAAGAAGATGCACCGTGATCCCAAAGGCACATGGTTCAAATCCACCAGATGATTCATGGAAGAAGGATGGGCAATATCTTCCTGTGTTATTAAGTGCCTTTAAAAGCAGGTTAAGGGGTTGCTTTGGAGTCAGCTATGAGTTTGTTCTGACTTCATAGTGTATAATGGTCATCAGAACAGAGTACGTAAATACTGCATGTGTGAAACAAAAAAAGGAGAACATCAGGAATGTATTCTTTCTCCATTTTCAGTCTATTTGCAGTACAGATCATTTGAGACTTTATGAAGAGGAATGTGGCATCAGGATTAGAGAAAGAGTCATTAACAAGCTGTGTTATGCAGATGCCACAGCTTTGCTTGAAGAATCTGAGGAGTACACGAAACATTTACTGAAGAAGGTCAAGAATTGAAGTCTTCTATATGAATTGAATCTCAACATCAAGAAAAAAGATTCTCACCACTGGGTAAATTGGCAGCACTGTGATAAGCAGAGAAGAGATTGAGATTATTAATAATTTCATCTTGCTTGAATCCACAATCAAGACTCTTGGCACCAGCAGTAAGGAAATCAAAAGATTAACTGCCTTAAGAAAGTCAGCTGTCAGGGACCTCTCCAGAGTGCTAAAGAGCAATGACATCAGTTTAGAAACTAATGTGCACCTGATCTAGGCCATGGTCTTCGCAATTACTTGCCATGAATCAGAGAGCCCAACAATGACTAAGGATTAAGAAGAATAATCACTACCTTTGAGTTGTGGTACTGGAGAAGAGTATTTCTTGAACATACCATCAACTCCCAAAGGAATAAACAGGTCTGTCCTGGAGAAGATGAAACCAAGCTTCTCTTTGGAGGCAAATATTTTGAAGCTTGGTCTACATATGTTATTCATGTAGCCAGGAGGGACTAGTCTTTGAAGAAGGACATCACGCTTAGAAGGGTGGTTGATCAGCATAGAAGAGAGTCTGGATGAGATGAATTGGCACAGTAACTGCGATGAGAGTAGGTGTATCAGAGACAACGAGAACCACATGCCTTCAGGATTGCAGCACAGCTTCTTGCCACTAGGCCACCAGATGGACATCATGCTTGGAAAGGGGAGGGAGGGTGGAGGATAGAAAAACCCTCAGCCTGGTAGATTGACAGTGACTGAAGCTTGGGGCTTGAGTGTGTTAGAGATTGTCAGGATGGCACAGATAGGACAGTGTTCAGATCTGTTATTCCTAGGGTTGTTATGAGTCATAGTTGACTCAATGGCACCTGACAACAAGAATAATAGCTACTGATTTTGAGCATTCCCCCCCCCTGTGCTTGCTGACCATGCAACTTTCTTCTTTGATGAAGCTTCTAATCATCTTTTCTGTTCATTTTTGTGATTAGGCTGTTAGTCTTTTTTCTTGTTGATATGTTGGTGTATTCTAGAAATTTTAGTTATGAGTCTTTTAACAGATAGAACATTGACAAATATTTGTCCACATATATGGGCTGGCTTTTTATTTCGTTGGAGAAGGTTTTTGATGCACACAAGAATTGATTCTTAAGAGGTACCATATATCTATATACAGGCCTGGCTGTAAATTTTTAGTTATGTTTGATAATCTAGTCATGCAACAGATTAGGGCTTCTAGATTTATTTTTACTTTTTCTCTGATGACCTTTATGGTTTTATGTTTTACTCATAGCTCCCCGATCTACCTTAAGTTGTTTTCTATATATGGCTTGAGGTATGGATCTTGCTTCAATTTTCTGCAGATGGATATTCACTTTGTTAGCACTATTTGTTAAAGAGGCTGTCATTTCCCATTTAATTAATTTCATTTCCTAATCAAAGATCAGCTAATGGGTTGATTTCCAGGTTCTTGATTATATTCCACTAATCTACGTGTCTGTCATTGTACCAGTACCACACCATTTTGATTACTATGGTTGTATAATAAATTTTGAAATTAAGAAGTTTGATGATTCCTACTTTATTTTTCAGTAGTGCTTTGCTTATTTGGGTTCTCTTTCCTTTCCAGATAAAATTGAGAATTGCCTTTTCCATTTGTTGAAGAACAGTGGCTGATATCTTTACTGGAATTGCATTGAACTTGTAGATTTCTTTTGGTAGGATTTTCATTTTCACATTACTAAGTCTTCCTATCTCAGAGCATGGTATATTCTTTATCTAGGCCTCTTGTTGTTTCTTGTTGTAATTTTTCGTAATAACCTCCATGAGAAATCTACATTATGAACTTAACTAGCTTATAAATGCTGTATGAAGGTATAGTTTCAGCATCCAGGGTCAAAGCATTTTCTGACTATTAAAAATACTATCAATCATTTAGAAGAACATTATTTAAGTTATATAAATTTTAGTTCTTTCTTTTGTAATATAGAAATAATAATAATATGTTTCATAGCTATAAAAAATTACAGTAAAATTTTTATGTTTGGGATTTTTTTCAAGGCACTATCTGTTTATCTAGTTATAAGAAGCTGCTCTGCAATCTCAAAAATATGTGTTCCAAATCCGTCAGGTGCTTTACGGGAAAAGGATAGGTAGTCTCCTTCTACGCAATCAACTGCCTCTTCAATCCTTTTGAAGGTCAGCTACAAGTCCATTATGACTCAACAGCACACAACAACAACGACAACATATAACTACAATGTACTGTCGATATTGTTAAAGTATATAAATGTAAGTAAAAGATTAATATTCATTTTTTCAGTTTATTTCTAAGAAGTCTTTTCAACTCATTCACATTACAAAATTTCATATTTCATTCCAAACCCCTCTTTAGGAAATAATATATTACATTAAAAATGAAAAATATAATTCAAAAGGACAATTTTAAATATTATAGAAGTTCACCTCTGAGAGACTACATGTATATTTAACTAACCAAAAAATGAAATAGCACTGTTTCACATGAGGTATTCAAATTCATAAGTGATGTTAAAGAGAAAACTAAGTAACAATTCTTTTTATATTCTTGGAATCTGAAGCTCCCCTAGAATCAAGGGTAAGAAAAAGACTATAAACAACCTACTTTAAAATACCATCTAAGGAGTAAATAATTTCTTTGGAAAGTTATCCTTCTGTTTTCTGTCATTCTTACAACAGGTAAAACCTTGCCTAAAAAGAACATTAAGTCTGTCAAATGTCAAAGATGGCAAGGAGTAGCAACTGGGTGCTCTTGTTGGCACAAGCATATTTCTGTAGTAAGTCAAGTAATAGCAATCTATAAAAATTATTTTATAACAATTAAATAAATTTTACAAAGGTACTCTAGCCAGAACAACAATTTCTGAACAATCTTAAAATAAATATCTTCTTTAAAAAAATGTATATCTTCTTTATAAAGCACTCAAAATTTAGATTGCTCAATGAGGGGCCAAAGTTCAAAAGGACACACATTGAGTGCACAGTTTTTCCGTAAGCTTGTTGATCTATTCATGTACATGATAGGCTTCCTTCCTTCCCATAAGACATAAAAGTCAGTGTGTATTTTATGTAAATAATCACATTCAACACTTGAAAGAATACATTTTATGACTTTTTCTCAAGACAGAATGAATCCCAAACATTTATGGTTCATTTCCAATGCTAAAAATAATAAATTGGCATTTGCACAGTGGTATGAAATTGTCTGGTGGCCCTTATTTCCATCACTTGGTGATAAGGATGGTAAATTCAGGTGCCACAGAGTCTGGATGATGCTGTAAGACCGGGAGGTCACACTGTACTCACAGGACTGCCGTCAGCGCCAGCAGGGCCTCTGTCACCAAAGTCGCCTGGAAAACCCTGGCAACAGAGAAACAGAAATGATGTTCTTAAAGGCAAAAGGCACAAAGAATTCAATGATATTTTGAAAAGGTATTGAATAATAAAAAAATTCTCATATCTTAATCCTCAGATTTTTAAAAATTTTATTTTATTAATTTTAATGAACTTTTACAGAGATTTTGGATTTCCACCCATTCATTGTTGAATTTTTATCCCTGCCCGCCCCCCCCCTCCAGTTTGCTCTTCTCTTTGAAAAGTAAAAGAAAAATTCCAAAAATTCCATCATTGGTATAGAATCCCTCCCTTCCTGGGTACACTCCACTATGCAACCTTCATTCTGGACTCTTGACATAACCATAATTCCTCAGATTTTACCATAAAAATTATATCTTTTTTTTCCCAAATGCCACTGATTTTACTAAGAACATTATTTCTGTGTTTTACAAAAATTATTTTACATGTCAGGTAATAATAGAGAAAGTTACATTGGAAAAGAGAGACACGTGCTCATTTCTATATAAAGAATCACTGACTGAATGAAAGCATAACCAGAATTTCTGACTGACAGTTCATTAGTGTCTCCACTATTTCATGCTATTTACATATTCACACCACAAAGATGGTAAGTGATAATACTATTAAGCAGCATTAATGGTTGAATATATATTGAATATATATTGTTACATTTGTAGATCTATATTTCTAGAATAAATATATATTATTTAAAAACATAATTTTTTAAAATATAAATACATATATTATTTAAAAATTTAATTTTTACCACAGTTCTACTTGATAAATAGTATCTTTAGTCTTCAGATGAATAAAATTAGAAACAAAAACAAAGCTCCAAAACTATAACAGCAACAACAAACAAGTAAACAAGCCCAACTGATTATCATCTAATTGATTCTGACACATCACAACCCTCCATCAGGATTCTGAGACTAAAAATCTTTATGTAAAGAAATAGCTCATCTTTCTACCAAGGAGCACATGGTGGATTTGAACCTTTGACCTTTGGCACAATACATAGCACACTACATCATCGGGGGCCCTTTGAGGAAATTGAAGCTCAGAGAATTTAAGGTACTTTCAGAGCTGGTTGTGACTTGAAGACAGTTTAATTGTACAGAGTTGACACCTAATGATTAGTAGGACTGAGATTTGAACAAAGACACTCTGATTTCAAAGTCCAATGCTCTTTAAGTTTCTGTTACACTCAGTATTTCAACTTATCATTCACGATGTTGTTGTTGTTGTTATGTGCCATCAAGTCACCTGTGACTCACTGCAACTCTATGTACAACAGTTCTGTAGCCTCCCCTGTGTGGTTTAGTGTCATTGACTCAGACACACCTACACCTCCATTACTCTAGTTATTGTATCACTTCATCTCATCCGGGGTCTTCCACTCCTGCATTGTCCCTTTACCCTTCCGAGCATGATGTCCTTCTCAAAGGACTGGTCTCTCCTGGCCATATGTCCAAAGTATGCGAGATATAGTTTCAAAATCCTAGCCTCTAAGGAGAAACTTGGTTCTATCCTCTCCAAGACAGACTTATTTGTTTTCTTGGTAGTCTATGGTATGTTCATACATTTAAAAAAATTTTAAAACATCTTTGAGATATGACAAAAGTAATATAGAGCTCCAGAATCCTTGTATGCAAGTGTACTCCACCTAAATATTGCAGATGTAAAATATTCTGACACAGAAAATTATGTGTCCTATTATATCTATTGAGTATTCCATACTGTAGAAGTATCAAGGACAATAAAGTAAAATGGTTTTTCATTATAAATTCTATTAAACACTATGCCAACTATTCTCTTACCTTATACATTAATAAAAGCTTTTATTTAAAGAATTACTTTCTGATGGATCAACTTTAAAGTTTATTTTAAAGATTAACTTGGTGTTATAAACATTTTAAAAAACTCAGAAGAGCAATAGAAACAAAAGTATGTCATTAGATTATTAGTAATCTATTTCAGCTAGTAAATATAATAGATACTCAGCAGATAATAAAAAAAAACAACAAACAGTAGTTCAAGTGTAAAACGTAAAAGGACTAAATTTAAAAGATGATTTAATGATGGCAAAAAGTAATGTCTCCAAAACAAAGTTAACTTGTTCTAGAAGTACAGTTTCTCTTATTCTGTAATAAGAAAATAATGAAAAAAGCATGTGTGTGCTCAAACACATTGTAGCCATAACCTCTTTAAAGTCAGTTGAAGTTCATGCAAGCGTTTGGCTTTCATTTTCCTTGGAAATAAAATTCTGTTGTCAACAAGCTTACAAATCTGCAGTACATCAATTCATTCAGTATAACCTAAGATGGGTGCTTGAAAGTATTTATGATACACAGATAATGGAAAGAGTAGAGGAATAATACTGCAATAAATTTCAAATATTAGAGATGATTGATTTTTTTAATTTTTTTAAAAGATACATCATTAGTAAGCTTTCCAGAAATCACAGGGAATAATAAAGAATTGGGACATCCTGCATAATTCCATTAGTGTGCTCTGTTCAGAATCTTGTTTTTGTTATGAGCCATCTTGTCGCTTGAAACTCATAGCCACCCTATATATAACAGCCTAAACTCTGCTCTGTCCTGTGCCAATTACACTGTCTTCAATACTCCCATCCCTATTACCATAGTCACTGAATCAATCCACCTCATAGAGGGCCTTCCTCCCCTGTGCTGTCCCTCCACCCTCCCAAGCATGATGTCCCTTCTCCAAGGGCTGGTCCCTCCTTACAACATGTCCAAAGTGTTAATAGATTGGTAGAGGATTCAGAATTAGGAGGAAATAGGGAGTGACTGTCAATGTACTTGTTTTTTGAGGTGATGAAAATGTTCTACAGTTTGATATTAGTGACAGCTGTATAACTATGAATGCTATAAATGACTGGGTTGTATACTTCAAAAATGTGCATTTTCCTTTATGTGAATAATAGCTCTATAACAGTGTCCCTAAAAAATGTAATGATTATGAACAAGTAGCAGGATTGTTTGAAAACATCCCTGCGTATTCATACTAGGGGTCCAGATAAAATACTTTTGGGGATTGATTGTCCACTACCGTTTTTAGTGGAAGGAAGTTAGGTCTCCAGCTCAGCACCACATGTACCTAGTGATTTCCTCCACTATCAGAGAAGATAACTTCCACAAGCCTCAAGGTCTATAGATGTTGGGCAGCTGGAATTTCCAAATTCATTTTAAAAGCATATTTAAGTTTATAAGAGCTGCTAGCTGGAAGACAAGGTGGCCAAGTGGTAAGGAGCTGTGCTGCCAACCCAAGGGCATGTGGTTCACATTCTTGAGCTATTGAATGGGAGAAAAATGGGCAATGCTATTTAGCTTCTGAAAACCCACTGGAGGGTCGGCTATGATGCTTTCCCAACTCAATGACACTTAACAACAACAGACAAGTTGGCTGTTTGAACCTGTCAGTTGTCAAAAGATAGAAAGAAAAGCAATTTCCTCCTATCAAGATTTACAGCCTGTGAAACCCAATGAATGGTCAGCATGACCTGGAATTACCCGGGTGGCAGTAGGTTTGGTTTGGTTTCTTATGTAAACAAATGATGCTCAAATTAAAAAAAAGAAAAAGAAAAAGGGGGAACACCAAATAAGGCTATATTTGAAGTCAAATATTTTATAATTAAAGTATTATTGCTATTTGGTATCAAGTCACACTTGGAACTCATAGCAACCCTAGACCCTACACAATAGAATATAGCTTCGAACCCTGCTCTATCCTGAGACAATGTAATAGTTTCCAATATGCCTACCTACATGATCCCCATTACTGTGTCAATCCATCTCATCCAGCATCTTTCTTTCCTGTGTTATCCCTCCACCCTTCCAAGCATTATGTTCTTCTCTAAGGTTTGGTCCTCTTGGCAATGAGCCCAAAGGATGTGAGACAGAATCTTCAAAATCCTAGCCTCCAAGGAACAGCCTGGTTTCACTCTCTCCAGGTCACACCTGTTTGTTCTCTTAACAGTCCATGATATGTTCAATACTCTTCTCCAGCACCATACCTCAAAGGCATCAATTCTTCTATCCTCCTTAGTCATTGTCCAGCTCTCTGATGCAAAACAAGTAATTGTGAAGATCATGGCATATCTTAGTCTCTAGACTAACATCATTGTTCTTCAGTACTCTGGAGAGGTCCCTGAAAGCATATTTTCTTAATGCAATTCATCTTTTGATATTTTGGTTACTGGTACCAAGAGGGTTGATTGTGGAATCAAACAAGCCAAAGCTGTTAACAATCTCAGTCTCTTCTCTATCATGATGCTGCCAATTGGTGGCTCAGAAGAAAGAATGCTTGCTTTCTTGATGTTGAGCTTCAATCCATATTGAAGGATGATTCATTCACTTCTGCAGCAAACGCCTGAGATCATCCTCAATTTCATAAGGCAGGCTGTTGATGAGTCTTTCTCCAATCCTGATGCCATATTCCTCCTCATGGAGCCCAGCCTCCCGGGTGATCTATTGCAAATAAATATTGAAAAGAAATTGAGGTAGGATGCATTCTTGACATACACCTTTCTTGATCTTGATCAGTGTTTCCTTGTTCTATCCTGCAGACTGCCTCCTGGTCCAGATATAGGTTTTGCATGTGCACAGTCAAGTGTTCAGGGATTCCCATTCTTCTCAGGGTTAGTTACAATTTGTTGTGATCCAAATAGTCAAATGCCTTTGCATAGTCATTGAAACAGATATACATTCCTCTGATATTGCTTTTAGCCATGATCCATCTAACAGTGGCTCTAATGTCCCTAGTGCCATGGCCTCTTCTGAATACAGCCTGCACATCTAGCAGTTCTCTGATGTACTGTTCCAGTCATTTTTTTTAAATTAATATTCCCTAAAATAATGAGTTCTTTAAAGAATTTAGGATATTAATTCTAAATTATACATAGGAAGTGTGAACAGAAATTAAATAGGCCTATTTCATTCCTTCTGAAAATTTTCTAAGGATGACAGAATTATCATTTA